AAGACAAATACGCTCTATATAGTGCTGACGAGTCTGTGCATCTTTTCCTGAAAGATATAATGGTAGAACGTCTCAAAAGATGTAGCACACCAGACTTTGGAGCTCCAGCAAACTAGAATAGAGTCGAGAATTGATCACACTTGTGATATGATGTGTGAGGCTTTCAGAGATTAAGATGTAGATGATGTTATGCAATTTGTCTTTCAGCAGCTCCAGAAAAGTCCTGTATATAGGATTTCTGGCTTAGGTATGGAATGACACCAGTCACCTGCCACTTAAGACATGTAACAACCCAATTAAGGTTGTTCTAAGGGGAAAAAGCCCAAAAGGGTATGAGAGATTGCAACTATTTCTTGGGATGGTCTGAAGGATGAATCATCTTGCTTTAAGCATTGGTGGGCCAAGCTCAGCCTGAAGACTTCTCCAACCTCTGAGCACAGAATTCAGCTGACAGTCTATCTACTCTGGTGGTTGTGGAAAGCCAAGATATATAGAATGGCTTTCTGAATTTTCCATTCTTCAGGCTGCTTCCTCATCTTGGATGGAGTTCTCATGCTGTTAGCTTTTGTTTGCAGTTTCTCTTCTTTTTGGTAGGTTGTTGGCTTGGTGTTGGACTTCATTTTCTCTTTGGTTTTTGTTGTTGTAGTGGTAAATCTGCTAGGTTCNTTCAGTCTATCTCGGTGATATAGAGTATCATACTGGGTCAACCAAACCAAAGAAACCAAGCAGTTGAACCGAACTATGATAGCTCGAACCATCACCAAGGATCGACCTGAAGCCAGTAACCAGGCTGATGATGACATCTTGAAGGAAGGTCATCAACCACGACACGAGCTCGCTGCGAGCTTGACTTGGTCGATAAAGAGGTCGAGTATTGGAACTGAGAGGAGAAGATGTTCTACCTAACATATATTCTACCTGATGACTTGGGTCTAACTTGGGGACAATGCCATGCGAGTATTGGACCAATTGTCGTAACGGGACTAGATTGCCTGCACACCTGACAAAATCTGACCGCCTGCAACCCTACACCTCGTACGGATGGGCAACAGAGTCAACTCTCCAGGCAGACTTGGAGAACAAAATACCACACCCCTATATAAAGGGGTGTGGTAAGTTCGTTACATTTTTAGACTCTCTTCACATTTTAATATACTCAACCACTGTTCATCTTCTTCATCCAGATATTGACTTAGACATCAGAGCTCTTCGTCGGAAAACCCCATGTTCGGTGTTGAGTTCTTGTAGGTACAGAGGTCGTCCGAGGTAGAAAAAGCTGTTTTCCCATCACAACGGTTCGAGTAAAGACTGAGTGAGGTCATGTCACTATTATTAGTTGGTTATCGACTTCTTGTTGCATTTGTTTATTTTTATTTTTCCAGCTTGCTACCTTTTGGAGTTTTAAATTCTGCCGTTCTGAAAAAAAAAATAAAAATTACATTCAAATATTACCTATATATTACAATATATGTTATAAATAATAAAAGTGAACTCTTGGGTGATAAGAGGCCCTAGGCGGTCGCCCGGCTTGTCACTCTTATTTGTAAATTTCGCCCCGTCTCCTAAATATGATAAAATTATATTCACTCCCTATTCCAATGAATATTACTACTCCCTCATGTTCATAATATTTGTCGTTTTGAGAAGTTGCATAATAATTAAGAATATTTTTTTTACCTTTAATAACCCTCTTTAATGAAAATTAATAACGTGAAAATTAAGAATGAATTTGAAAAGGCGTAGTGTATTTATTAGCTAGATGAAGGTAATAATATAAAAATATGTACAAAAGGTCCAAAACGTAATTTATTTGGTTCGAGAGCGAGGGTTGTCGGCCTTTCTAGTCTCGCGGTAGTGCCGAGTGGTAGTGCGGAATTGGGGCTTGGGTGTGGCCCTAGTGGCTCGCGTGGTCTATGGAGAGGCGAATGGGGCTGAGGAGTTGCAATTATAACCCCTGTTCCCGTGGTTCCCTGGTGTGGGGTTGATGGGAGGCCGGCGTTGCTGGACTGCGGCCAGTGGTGTTGGCCGGGGCTGGGACGGTGGTGGTGTGTGGGGATGTGGATTGTCGCTCTTCCGGCTATGGGTCGGGTTTTTCTTCCTGGATTGGGTCGAGATCTGTGGTTCCGACTTCTGTTAGGTGTTTAGCAGTTTCGAGAGCAGGTTCTTGGTTTTCGTTCTAGTCTTTTCGGTGGTAGACCTGGGTTCTGTTGGTGATTCGGGCTTGGTTTGTCTTCAAGGGGAAGGGCCTTTTGTTGTTTTCGTTTCTGTTTAGTTTGTTTGTTTTTGTGTCTGTGTTGTCTAGTGGTGTTTTGTGTTTTTGTTGTGTTTGGGTTGTGTTTTCTCTCGGGTGGGAGTATGTTATTCTCCTGTTGGGAGCATGTTATTCTCCTATTAAGATCTGTGTAATGTGATTTATTGTGTTGTGGGTGTGTTAGTTTAGATACTTGCCTCTGTGTAGGCCTCCTGGATTCAGTTATTTGGCTGTTTGGTTATTCTAGTTGTTTCTAGTGGTAATTATGTGGTTTTATTTTATATAAATTCTTCGTTTCGATAAAAATTTTCTTTAGCTTGTCTATCAGTGTACGCCGGTACTTTTTTTTTCTTTTTTTCTTTTCCAACAATAGACTTTCATTAAAAACACACATAATTACAAAACATAGCACGACCAAAGCAACCGAAGTTGGCGGCCAAATGGCCGAGATGAGAGGACATCCCAAAGGGAGCCGATATACCACAACGCACTCATAATAAAAGAAAAAACAAACCTCCCACAAGTGGAGACCAAGACTCCCAAACTGAAGAGAACACTCCCATAAGTGGAAAACAAAACTCCCAAACAGGAGAGAACACTCCCAAAGGGGAGAGCCGACACCCAACACTAAGAAAACCACCAATAAGAAGAAAACAAAAATACAAAATACAGACACAAACCCACAACTAATCAACACACTAAAATACTAAACTAGAAGAGAACCCTCCTCATCCGACCAAAATCTCCCCTAACACCACCAAAGGACGGCAACAACGAGAGTCCCCTCACGAAGAACAGGTCCATTGACCGTGCACGAATCCTAGACATTCCGAGAGACGACTGACTAGAACTGGCCAAGACAAACACGTACAACGACCCAGCCCAAAGGAGCCACCCCTGAACCACGCCGAGAAACCTGCAAAACCAAAATGTCCCCGCACCAAACCGACCACGGCTGCTGAAACCCCCAAAGGAGACCGCCGCCACAGCCGTCAGACCCAGCCGTCTCAGCACCAGAGACGACTCAGATCCAGGGGGACGCAGGTACTTATGAAAAATGATACAAGTACATAATAAATGTACATAAAACACATAACACTCAAATGAAGTGAGGTCTACTTGATTTTTTATTTTTGGTCGGTCTCACTCAATGTAGATGTTATGTATATCTTTATATACAATATTATGTACCTATAGGATTTCTCAGTACTTATATTGCGATTATATTTTTTTTGGCTTGCCCAATTTTGCGATTATCATTTTTTATTTTCTAGAAAAATGTGTGTTGGGAAAGTAGACAAGCCAACACTCACGTCAATTTTTCACAGGGACAATAATGCAAACACCTCCCATGCGCCATCAAACACCACACTACAAACAGTCCCACACTGTCACAAAAGCTAACGCACGCTCTCTCTCTTCGTCTCCCCCACTTTGCTTCTTTCCCACACTTTTTCTTCATATCCTTTTTCACCTTTTGGCATTTGACAAACGGTATGCAGACGCCGGACATTCTTCATCCAACTTCCAATTACTAGTCATAGATTGAGACGAGTTAGATCCTTCTGCCATTTGTCCCAACATAAATCAAATTCATATTACTCTCTGCAAGTTGGGTTTAGTGACTGTGCCCGTGAAGGGGTGAATCCGGCGGGCGATGGGCGGGGTGACGTCATCGATGGCGGCGAAGTTCGCATTCTTTCCGCCCAATCCGCCGTCGTACGAGGTGGTTCACGACGGCGCGACTGGGCTGCTGCTGCTGAGCCCGTTCCCCCACCGCGAGAACGTGGAGGTCATGAAGCTGCGGACGAGGCGTGGGGCGGAGATAGTGGCGGTGTACGTGCGGAACCCGATGGCGACCTCCACCTTGCTTTACTCGCATGGCAACGCCGCTGATCTTGGGCAGATGTACGAGCTGTTTATCGAGCTTAGCATACACTTGCGGGTCAATCTCCTCGGGTAATTGTATTTGTATATGCTTATGGTTCTTTTGCTTTGAAAACCCTAATTTCAGTTTCCTCTGCTTTAACGGTTTCGTGATTTTATAATTTTTGCAATATATCAATGCACAAAGCTGGAGGTTATGATTTGTGAAATATGAGAGATATAATTGTCATTCAGTCTCAGACCAAACAGAAATGAAGGATATTTGAAATCTGCTTCTTTTTAGTGTGGGTTNCTTCACTGTTCTCCTGAATTTAGTAGTATTTGGTTCATTTCATAAAAAAATAGTACCTTTTTTATTATATTATATTTTTATTTAAAAATGGGTATCACTGTCTAACGGTGACAGTGTCCTGAAATTTTTGAAGCATGGAATTACTAAAGTACTTATATATTACTATACCGGCTATTGTTATTATTATTGACTCATTGTTTTATTCTCATTTTTTATTTGTGGTTATTGTTATTATTCTGGTCCTGGGAACTCGATCATCTTCTGGATCATATATGCTACATAACTTCGATAGTCGACTTGCAGTAGCTTCTATATCGAGCTGACTAAGTTCAAACCATTAACATTAACTGCGTGCTCAGAATATTATGTTTGGTAAACATCTTATTAGTGAAATTTTATGTTGGGTCTCAAAAGGGATTCTGCTTTTGGCCTTTGGGGATGTATTTTGGAGTTTAAAATTCAAATCAGATTTTCTTGGTATTTTTTAGCATAAATTTTAGCTGAAAAATTTTAGCTTATGATGGTTCTCGAAATTTTGTTCAGGTATGACTATTCTGGCTATGGACAGTCATCTGGGAAGGTGTGTTTCAACTTAAGATTTACCAGAAATTGTCCCGTTCTACCTTTTTGTTCTGAAGAATTAGAAAAAACCCCTCGAGGTTTGGGCTAAAACTCCATAATTTCCGAAGATTACAAAACTTCCCTTAGAGTATGATGTAGTCTTCAATTAAGTGGATAACCTTTATACTTCCGTAATTGTCAAGATGTTTTGTAATTTTCAAAATTTTCATTTTTTTGTTTTGGTGATATTAGCCCAAACCTCTAGGGATGTTGTGGTGATCACCATTTTCGGTTGAAGAACTTAAATGTGAGCTTAATGTGTGTATCAAATCTATTCTCCTCATGTTGCAACTCTGTTTACAGCCCAGTGAGCATAACACATATGCAGATATTGAAGCTGCATTTAAGTGTCTCGAGGAAAATTACGGCACCAAACAGGAAGATTTGATACTCTACGGTCAATCAGTTGGGAGTGGGCCCACCTTAGATCTAGCTGCTCGTCTTCCTCGTTTAAGAGCCGTTGTTTTACATAGCCCTATACTATCAGGCGTTAGAGTCATGTATGCTGTGAAACGCACATACTGGTTCGACATCTACAAGGTAAGAAGAGATCTCATGATCCACCATTTACACATTTTGTTTTTTTCTTAGAAATAACTCGTCAAGTTATCACTTGCTTCCTTCGTTTTTTCTGCAGAACATCGATAAAATGCCTCAGGTTAATTGTCCAGTTCTCGTCATTCATGTAAGTACAGATTAAACTTGGACATTGATAAAATTTTCGCAATGTTGATAATAATAATAATAAAAAAAAAATTGAGTAAAATTTAGTCCTCTATCTTTCACTATCTTAACTTTTTCGTCCTCTTCGAATTGCGTTTTTTATTTTCATCCCTTATGTTTGCAAAAAAAGCGTTTTTTATTTTCATCCCTTATGTTTGCAAAAAGGTTACAAAAAGGTCATTTTCATACATAAGGGACGAAATTGGAACCTTTTTTTGCAAAACATAAAGGACTTTTTCGTTGCGAATGGGACGAAATTGGAACATTTTTTTAAAGGAACTTTTTGTTGCGAAAAAGACATTTTTGTAACTTTTTTGCAAACATACGGGACGAAAATAAAAAACGCAATTCGAAGAAGATGAAAAAGCTAAGGTAGTGAAACATACATGGCTAAAATTGTAATTGAATTTACTCAAAAAAATATAATCTTTCAGGGTACGGCAGATGAGGTGGTCGACTTCTCACACGGCAAGCAGCTGTGGGAGCTCTGCAAGCACAAATACGAGCCCCTGTGGGTGAAGGGTGGTACCCACTGCAACCTGGAGTTGTACCCTGAATACATTAGGCACCTTAAGAAATTCATCTCAACCGTTGAGCGGGGCCCACATTCCTCCCGAAGGATCAGCACGCGGAAAAGCACCACCGAGCAAATCGAGCCGTCGAGGAAGAGCACGGACTCGTCACTGTTTGAGCTGCCGAGAAGGAGCACAGATTGGAGGGAGAAGCCCAGGCACAGCACGGACAGGTTAGAAAGGCCCGTGAAAAACAGTGGGCCGCAAAATGGGGATCGAGTGAGAATGTCGTTTGAGCAGGTGGAGAGGTCGAGGAGGAGTGTCGATAAATCGTGGAAGTCTGTGGTGGATTATAATCAGTTTGAGAGGGGGAGGAAGAGTGTTGATAGGTTGGAGAGAATACGGTAATTTTTTGTTTGATTGTTTTNCGTTATGCTAGTTGTGTGAAATTTAAGGATGGATGGATATATCTGCGGTGAGGGGTAGATTGGTAATTTGGTATTCTCTTGGTAATTTGTGTGTGAAGTCGTAGAATAATGTGTTTTTACATTGTTACAACTTTCCGCTTTGATGCGATTTTCTTTATCTCATCTCGTAGAATAATGTGTTGTTTTACAAAGTGTACCGTATGGATACATCTTTCCGCTTTCACATTAAGAATCATGTTTCAAGTTTTAGAATTCATATATCTGGATCACAACCGCTTTCCTGCCATCTTGAAGGTTTAAATGACAATGGACTCTAGCTTAGTACTATAGTTTCATTTTTTACCATGACCAAATTAAGGTATTTAAATTTCCAATCATTGCCTCGTCATCGTCAAACGTTAAGTGAAGAATAATAATTAGCAGCGGGATCCCTTCCTGCAGCTAAGTACCCCAGCAGCTGAAGTTATTGAAGCCACGAGAGAAGATGGCCTTGCATTTAAACTCGATGCCCTTGCATACGTTGACCAAGCCCCTGCCCCCGACTGCCGAAAATATGCCCCATTAAGAAATAAATCCCCTTCCGAAATCCAATTCCACCGGCTCCACTCACTTTCCGGCGCATGCTCGTGTTTGGTCACCTGGAAGGAAGAACAAGAACGTGTTCATTCGTAATTCAAATTATTTGAAAAATATCTTAATTAATATGAAGAAGGTCTCCTCACCTCTTTCCTGAATCTCTCATTGGCTGCAAGGAACCTGTTCCCCTGGCTATATATAGTAGGCGAAGCACTCCCCCCAATTGCATACATTTCCCAATGCGTATATTCATTGTTCACCACATGAAAATACCCATGCCTGCACCTGTGTTCAATTCATAATTCACCTCAAATTAAATTCATCTTATTGTTCATCATAAAAATTAATTAATAAAACATTATGTGTATATACCTTGGCATCCTTTGAACCAATCCTTCCCCAAAATGATTAAACGCAATGGTGACCCTCATATCCTTATCCTCCACATACTCATCACTATGCCCCAACAACATCACCTTATCATGATGGCTAAAATAGTTGTTCGAGATCGTTATCCCAGTCGACCCGTGGATCGCGTCGATCAACCCGTCCGCACAGTTGGACAGCGAGCAATGATCGATCCAGATATCCCGACTGCTGAAGATCGACACGCCGTCACCGTCAGATGCCCCCCACCACCCAGCGTGCCACAGAGAATCCCTAATCACGGCATTCCCGGACCTCGCGCAGTCGTGTATGTGAACCCCATGGATGATCACGTTTTGCGCGCGATGGATCGCGACGCAAGCGCCACCGGCGCCTATGTGGACGCTGGCCCCGCGACCGTCGATCGTCTTGTGGGACCCCACGATCAACGGCTGGCGGAGACGGATGACCATGTCGGACTGAAAGATGATCCATAAAGGCTCGGGTTGGATGACGGCGTGGCGGAGGGTTCCTGGAATGGGGCTAAGGGGGTTGTCGTGGACGGAGTCGGTGACGACGTAGATGCGGCCGTTGCGGCCTCCGACTGCATTCCGGCCGAAGCCGATGCCGCAGTCGGCGAGGCGCTGGCGGTGGGATGCCCAGTTGGCGTCGCACCGCCAGCAGTCGTCGATAGGGTTGCCAGTGGCGCAGGGATGGTTGCCTAAGGTTATTCTTCTTGATGCGTTCTTTATGCCCCTGTGTTTGCAGTCAAATAAGTTAGTTTATAGTTTAACTAATCAGCTTCCTGTATTCAAATAATATTTGTTTGGTAGGACGAACTTTTTTAAAAAGCTCGGGCTGATCTTATAAGCTTCTTTGAGTAGCTTTTCAAATAAGTTCGTTGTGTTTCAGATAACTTATCAACTAATTTTACTGAACACTTTTACCATATAAGCTAGATTTTCAGTTATAAGTAATAAGTTATAGGCTATAAACTCGAAAATCACTTATAAGCTATAAGTTAACTCATCAGCTATCAGCTAATTTGTGGATAATGTAATTTTAGACATCCACTGCATTCATAAATGTAATTTATGCTTCTTATAACTTTTCAACACCTCAAATAGGGGGAAAAAAAGGGAAATTACGAAAAAATGTAAAATATGAATAAGCTTTACTACATGATACATGGGAACAAAATAAGTCATGCGTTAAATTCTTACCCAAATGTCACTCACAAAGTAATATGCAGATAAGAAGGGAATATTTAGTGGCTCATGCGTGACTGCAAAGTTATCTACAAATGTAAGAAGATAAAGATTACTACGTACTTACTGGGTCACATCTTGTACCATGATATCTGGGTCTCGACTATAATTAACTGAAGACGGTAAGACGGGACTTACTGTTGTAAGAGTGAGCAAGAACAACGCGAACAAAAAGGAAGACAACATTTTTTGTTAGTATTTGTGGAGCGCTCCAGTTGTTGGTGACTAAGTGTAAACAAATACTGCGGTAAGAACAGAGGTTTATAAAGAAAATTCAAAGTAATCGCCCGTCATTAATGGCGTGATTAAAACTACATGTCGGATGACTTTGTTTTTAGGTGACTAATTTCTCTTACAAGAGTTCACATTCGCTTGGATTCGTAGTGTTGGAAAGGGGCTTTAAAGTCCGTTTCACACATTTTAATAATTCGTTATGTTCATTTGTCTTTTGTTTTCTCTTTCTTCTTATTATTATTATTAACTAGTACGTACCCCGTGCGATGCACGGGGAATGTATTAAATGAGTTATTTTCACATGTTCGATCCGTTTAAGTCCAAAAAACAATAGGATTATAAATAGGAATCAGCGTTAAGTGTAAAAGACACTAGGATTATAATTTATATTCCACCTCTTTTAAACAATAGGATTGTAATCCATTTCCACCTCTTTTAATCGACGTTTTTTTAAGCAGAACATTAAATATGAACATGTTAGGGATAACTTGTAAAATAATTAATATATTATCTTACTAACACATTTATAGTAATATAAATTTGATTTTAGTATATATATTTATATTGATATAAGAGAAAATAACAGTTTTAGAGCATCTCCAATTGTAAATGGATTGCTCTATTTCATTGCCACCTAGCTCCAAAAATCCAATGTGGCACTTAAGAAATGTAGAAGTCTTTCTATATGTAGAAAAATATATAAAATAAATGATATAATATAAAATAGAACACGTGTAAACATTTTTTTCTTCACTAATCAATTATTATCTTACATGTGTCAAATTATTCCACAATTGATATTAACTATTGGAGACAAAATATTTTTATTCCATTTCTCCACACCATTCATTTCAAAATATGTAATCAATTTATATATAAAAATTTATATTTAATGCACATTAGTATTATTTATTTATGTAATCAATTTAAAATATGTAAATGGATTTAAAATTAAATAGTGTATAAGTACTTTACAAAATATACACACATGTTTTTTTTTAATTTAATTTTGTATACTAATTAACCAACTTTGATTTACGAATGTCAAAAATTCAATCCCTTCTATAATCAAGATATTTCAAATTTGCATTATAAGGATTTATAGTTTTATTTAGCATACTGATTTATAGTTTTAATTTAATTTTGTCAAAGTCTTGCGGTCAATGAGGCCATTGAGACTTGAGGATGTGATAGTAGGGCAGTATAAGGGCCACAGCAAGGTTGGAAAATCGTACTTGGGCTACACAGATGATCCAACGGTGCCTAGCAACAGCATAACTCCAACATTTGCAGCTGCAGCTCTTTTTATTAATAATGCCCGTTGGGATGGGGTGCCTTTTCTCATGAAAGCCGGAAAAGCTCTGCACACCAAACGGTAACTAATTATTTCGCACCTTGAATTACGTTTTTTACGAAGTGATATACTCAAGTAAAAGTGGATGGTAGTTGATTTTGTGTTTGTTCATTGTTTTACTTATCTGTATTTTGTCATTTGATTCTACTATAACAAGAGGAGTTTCTCTGTGTTTCTCTCAAACCTGAAATTTGATCATTGAAATATCGCTGAGTAATTATGACAATAGACAATAATTCTTTCAAACTTTTAGATTTTTTCGTTATTCTTTCATATGATGACGGTTCTAGTGTAAAAACTCAGGGCGGAAATTAGAGTCCAGTTCAGACATGTTCCGGGTAATCTGTACAAGCGAAACTTTGGAACAGATTTGGATAAAGCCACAAACGAGCTAGTTCTTCGTGTACAGCCAGATGAAGCCGTATACTTCAAAATTAACAACAAGGTTCCTGGTCTTGGAATGAGACTCGACCGAAGTGACCTTAACTTGCTTTACAAAGCCAGGTAAAATGGTTCGTTCAAGACTGAATTAACTTTCAGTTTACATGCTAGCTGATTTATTTCAAATTTATCATTTTCATTAATGGCTCATTATATTTAGTGAACCTATAGCTACCACTTGAACCCTGCTAGACTTTGAGGGTACACTTTATTTGGAAGATAAAAATATATGTCGATCGGGATGTTAACTTCAATTTTTGAATATAACTGGGTCATTTTTGTCTATTGCAAGTAGGCAAGATACTAGCGATGCTTTTCATAATTACATTTTTTATCAGTTAAACCTCTCTTAAGCTCACTTTAGTACTCAAATGGATATTTGCTTAATTACAGAGATTTATGATGATGATTCTTGAGAAACTTTAATATGTGATTATTGCAATAATCTCTTAAAGGTACCCAAGGGAAATACCGGACGCATATGAAAGACTTGTTCTAGACGCGATTGAAGGAGAACGGAGATTATTCATCCGAAGTGACGAACTGGATGCTGCGTGGGCCTTATTCACACCATTGCTTAAGGAATTGGAAGACAGAAAAATTGCACCCGAGTTATATCCGTACGGGAGTAGAGGACCTGTCGGGGCCCACTATCTCGCTGCCAAGCATAACGTTCGATGGGGAGATCTCTCGGACTAACAAACCAGAATTGCTAGCTGTTAAATTCTTGAGTCTATATATACTATATAATATTATATATAGGGTATAATTTGTCAATTGTTTCTGGATTGATTGAGGGCTTATAGCTTTCAAACTGGTAAAAAGGCCATAGCTGATTTAAGTTGTAAGGTTTCTCTTTTGTGCATTTTATCATGCAAGAGCCATTAAGTTTTGAACTAAGTTATGTTAAGCGAAGAACACTTATCTTCAGATTTAAATTCACTTTGATCTCTGATTTGCAAAAACGTTAGTTGTTCTTTTAAATAAGCCAATAAGGTCAAAATTATTTATTGTAGAAATAAATAGTGGGATTAGTATCACAAAAATCTATTAGCAAAACTCTATTTTGTGGGTTTTCAATATCTTCTGTTTAAGTATATTTACATCACAAAATGGTAAGAGTGAGATGCCAATGCCTCTGCTGATTAGGACACATCAAACGTACCTTCTTGGCTGTATTGTATATGCAGATTAGGAAGATCAATTTTGGTAACGCAAAACACTCCGACTGGCTTGAAATCAGCTTGCCTCCTTCTTCCTCGCCGGTAGAACGCCGCGTTCCTGCACAGAACTCTCACACCGGCGGGGTTTTCCGGTGAAGAGCCTCCGATGCTTAAGTCAGTATGTGTTTGTTCAATTTTCCAAAGTAAAGAATGGATAAATCGTGATTTACAAGAAAAGACTCACTCCCATATATATAGGAGTGAGATACCTGCCCTAGGAATTGGCTGGCTTTTGGTCAGCTGTCCTGCCCGTCCGTACACACATAGTGTGCGTGTGTCAGAGATTGTCAGAGGTGGCTTTCGCCACTATCACTCTGCACCAATATATTCTCGCCACGTGTCCCTTTGAGCTAAGGGAGATTATTCCTCTGCGTAGGCCGTTGGGATCTCCACTATCATTGCAGCCATTGCCATAAACATCCTTACTGTGACTAATTTGGCCACATGTGAGAACACCTCAAAAAAATCAACACCCTCTACTTGGTTGAAGCCTTTAGCCACCAACCTTGCCTTGTACCTTTCTACCTTCACCATTTGCTTTCCTTTTGATCTTGTGGACCCACTTAGATCCTGAAGCTTTCTTCCCAGGTGGCAAATAGCACATCTCCCATGTGCGATTCTTCTCTAAGGCTGCCAACTCCTGATTCATGGCTTCTACCCATTTTTCATGTTTCTTAGCTTGCTCATAGCTGAAAGGCTCTTCTTCACATGCTAGATTAATAAGCAATGGATCTGCAGGTGGGTTCTGATTTTCCTCATCATTATGACAAACATAATCTTGCATCCATATTGGTTTAGTTCTCACCCTCTTTGATCTCCCTAGCTCACAGTTAGCCTCTTGTGTGATCTCAGCAACTGGTGGAATCAATGTCTCCTTGACAGGTTGAGATTGAGTTTCATGACACCTTGGTAAAGGAGTGTTGGAAGAGGTATTTCCATGTAGCTCTGACTTGAAAGGAAAAATCCCTGGAAAAAAGACAACATCTCTTGATATAAATCTCCTCTTGTCCTCAAGATCATACAAATAATATCCTTTGCAACCCACCACATAGCCTATGAACACAAATTTGTGTGATCTTTTATCCAACTTACCTTTCATAGGTAAAGTATTTGCAGCATACACCGAGCATCCAAAAGGCTTCAGTACACCATAATTGGCCATCTTACCATATATTCTTTCAAAGGGTGTGGCCCATTCCAAAGTTGAACTAGGCAACCTGTTCATAATGTATGCTGCAGTTAATACTGCATAACACCAGAAGGATAATGGTATACCAGACTTAAATATAAGACTTCTTGCAATTTCCAGGAGTTGTCTATGCTTTCTCTCTACCACTCCATTCTGTTGGGGTGTGTAAGGGCAACTTTTCTGATGAAGTATCCCATTCTTGGCCATTAACTTCTGAAATTCTTGTCCAAAAATATGACCTTCACCAACCGGCCAAACTGAGTTCTAACCATTAGCAAAAAAAATTCAATGCAACCAACTGTCTCACTTTTTGTTTTCAGCAGATATATCCAAACTGTCCTACTGTAGTCATCTACCACAGTTAAGAAATAAGGAGTGTTGGTGAGATTTTCCTCTTTACACGGTCCACATATGTCAATGTGTACCATTTCAAAAATGTCTTTAGTCTATATTTTACTCAGAGGAAATGGTGCCCTGTGTTGTTTGGATTTGAAGCATACCTCACAATTCTTTAACATACTTCCTTCTTTGCAAAGCTCCTTTAAGAATCCCACATGTTGTAGCACTCCAATTGAAGCATGTCCCAGTGATTTATGCCATTCTTCAAGAGTCACTCCACAAACCAGCGGTGAGTTATCTTGTTGGACTGCCAGTATGTATAATTTTCCATGAAGTTGTCCATATCCCAATCTATCTCCAGTGGACTCATCCTCAAATGCACATTGATTGGCAGTAAAGAGGCATCTCAATCTGGAAGATGCACACAATTGTCTATCTGATAAAAGGTTGTATTTGAATGAAGGTACAAATAGCACCTCATACAACACCAAGTTCTTTGACAGCTACACTTCTCCTGTCATAAACACCTCTTTAGCACTACCATCAGGTAGGTATATTGTTATTGGCTTTGTAAGATTTTTCATATTTCTCATCAGCCCCTTATCAGTACACATATGCCTGCTTGCACCTGTATCAATCACCCAAGCCATCCCTCCAATGTTGTCATACATAGACAAAGCATAGTGCTGCTCATGCTCATCTATATTTTTGGCAAAATTCACAAAGTGCTCTCTCTCACCTTCTGTATGACTCCCTTGACCTTCTCCATTATTTTTCGCAAGGATCATGGCTACCTGTTTGGCTAACAGATTAAGATCATTCATTGTACTATTTGCAGAACCATGCATATTTGGATTTCCTTCCTTCACTTATGTCAGGTTAGCCATTCTTTTGTTCCTTTTGTCCTTTAATTCCTTAAACCAATCCGGATATCCATGGATTTTAAAGCATGTGACCTTGTCATGTCCCTTCCAACCACAATTCTCACAAATCAACTTAGCTCTATCCTCTCTGGATAATCTTTGTGTTCCTCGTCCTCTACCAAAACCAAAATGTCCATTAAGACGTTTGCCACCATTTGCTCTTCCAAATGAAACATTTGTCTTAAAAGCATAGCCATTCCAGAATTAAAATCATCACCAGAGAGTTGTACAGATCTCTGTGTTTCAGCAAATAACATCATGGAAAAAACCTTTGTGACAGAAGGTAGGGGATCCATTAATAAAATCTGATTCTTAACATGATCATAGCTTTCATTCAACCCCATTAAAACTTGCATGACTCGATTTTGCATGTTTTGCTGCTCCACTTTCTTACCAATCTCACAATTGCATGAGCTTATTTTGCTCTGGTACCATGTAGAATTTTGAGGTAAAATAAGCAAAATATCTGAAATCTGTATTTTCCCAAAAGTCACTTTATTCATTCACAGGCGCTGCTATTTAAAGTAGCCCGCTCAAATATTCAAACTTACAATTTCGGGATAGAACGACACCGCTTGGTTAAGTACAGTAAACGGGAATGTAAAGGAAAATTAACAAATGAAAATGCTCTTCCCAACTGAGTACATATTCATCAATCTGGATATAAAAATAAAAAATAAAAATAAAAAAATAAAAAAAAAAGTCCAACTGAAAGTCTTGAGAGTTGTCAGTATCTTATTCTCTGTGTACAGCAATATGTTGTATTTGAGAATCAATTTTTACTTTTAATTTTTGAATGTCCAGATGTTACCCGTTTGGAGCTGGTGCTGCTATCTTGTACACGGGACCGAACTAATACAATAGCAATAGCTTCCTAACACTTAGCTAAACTAACCTTTGTGTGATATGGTCCATTTGGCAAGTCTACTTTAGCTCTCGTTGTGGGAACAAATTGATTATGTGGAGACAAATTATTCCATGTCTCAGATCTGAGAAAGCTCCTCCTTTTTCAGCATTTGCTGATACAAATGACTGTTGCCTGTATGTGTATATATATTTGTAGCATAGCACATAGCCCCGAACTATGGGGGATAAAAAGGACTGATCAGAAAAGGAAAAAAAAAAAACTATGTAAAAAAAAGAGGAATTGTATTTATTCCAGAATTTTCTTAGAGACGGGGGTAATCAACAAAGATCAATTATTCATGGAAAGTTTTTCGCCAGAACCTTAGGGAACAATACATAGATAGAGAGCATAACTAAATTCCATACCAAAAACCACTCCTGTGAAATTTCTCCCTAGTAATACTATCTATTTTCTGGATCATTTCATCATCAAGATAATTTTTATAATCTCCAACCTTGCCTTTCCTAAAGAATGAACTATATGGCAATGGAAACCCGTCTGGCAGCTCGCTTGACTTGTTCACACCCTGGTTGCTCAAGTTCTCAAAGCTGCAATTCCTTACAATTTCACTAATTTCCATCGCTCCATTTTCTCCTTCATCAAATGGGCACCCCAAGAACTTACCAAGCTCCTCCACACATTCCTTGGGATTTTCCTTCATTTCCTCGTAAGTCACCAAAAACACCTTGTCAGGCCTCTCAACACTTTCTTCCCTGTAAGCCAAGACATGATCATAGTATGATCCAAACACAACAATCCCATTACAAAACTGATCAACAGCAGCTTCTAACTCCCATGGATCCTCCTCAACTTTCTCAGATTTACGCACGAAATGCCAAAGAGAAATAAGGGTGTCCTTTGGATTTCTTGTCATGTAAACGATCTTGCACTCGCTTGAATTCAGTACATTACCCAAGATTTGGTATGGTATATGGGTTCCAAGGATTCTAACCCTATCTTCATTAAGGGTAAGAAGAGATTCAGGACTCTTCTCATTGTTCTCAACATGTCGAACGTAAAGATTTGTTTCCAAAGATGGGATTAGTTCTTGTGGATGCTTGGAGATCAAAAGGTTGCTTTCATCAGATCTGTGAGTGATGGAGTGGAGAAGGGCTTTGAGCCATGTGGTCCCTGTTTTGGGGAAAGAGCATAAAATTACATCATTTGGGAGAGGTTTGAAGTTTTCAACAACTCTTTTGGTGGTTTCAAGATATGTTTGTGTGAACCAAAAGCCATGGAATTTGTAAAGGAATTGGTGCCCACACCATTTTTCTCTTTGGAGAGATGAATTGGAAATATTTTCTGGATTTGAGTTTGTTTCCATGGCAATCCCTTATTGTAGACAGCTGTAGATATATACAAAGGTGGTGATGTGAGTGATGTTGCTCCCATTTGGAATGGAATCACTATATTTAATGGGTTGGTGAAAAGAGCTATTTTAGCTTACATGTCGGATCTCGGTGCGTTTCTCATTATTCTCGAATTTATGCTTCCATAACTGATTTATGGATGTTAAATATTGTAAGGGTGAGTTTGGTTTTTCTTTATGGGCTCGATATGCAACATTTTGTTAATAAATCAACAAATTTAACGTGTGTGGTTAGAAAAAGCTTATGATAAAGCAAAAGCATGGTTTTTCCCCCCACAAAATTTATAGACAAAATTACCCATACACCTTTTCGATTCATCTTATGTTTATATTTACGCTTTATTTTTTTATGTCACAAGTATCTTTTAGGATGTTTTGTAGGTTATATATACACTAAAAGTTAAAATTTTTAAAGGATTTGTAGACACCATAAATGAGATCACATATAAAAAGTTATTTAGAGTAATAATTCCTCCAAATAATTAAAACACCTCAAAAATAGCTCTCATCAATTCTCTCTCATCGTCTATGAGAGAGGAGAAGAAAAAATAGAAAAGAAGTATATGATTCAAGTTCACTGCTCGAGAACATCACTAATGACGGACAAGTCGGCTCCAGAAGTCCGGATGAAACACGAACCTAAGCAGGAAGACTCCGCCGAGACAGTGTTGCTGGCTTAGCAGAATTTCGAAGACAACGACGTGAAGTGCACTAGAGCAGAAGACGAGAAGTCGAATGAAAATGGATAGAAAAAGGTGAATTTCGAGGATGCCAAAGCTGACGATGATTCGAGAGAGGGATATTTGAAGGAAGATGTGAAAGAATCGGGCCGGGCCATAGTCAGCGTACAAACGTTTTGGTCGTCCATCAAGATCTTTGATTTGACCTCATCATTGACAGTGCCAATGAGGTCGACACCAATCTCGACATGATTAAGAAAATGAATAAGAAGTCGATTTAATTTTATTGTCAGTAATTTAATTAATCAAGGAACGTTATATCTTAAACATAGGGATGGTAAATCGATCAATTAGATTAATATTTATTAATCAAGTGGATGTTCGAATTTATTGAATAAATTGGAGCTAATTGAGAAAGCAATAATATTATTCTAGTGGAATGTTTTATTATTTAATTCTATTAGGAAATTAGGAATTAATTATTTTCCATTATTTTTTCTTTAAGAAGAGGAATGTTCCTTCTAGAATATTACCTAGGTTAGGAGACTATGGAGACTTCGAGAAGGTAATTAGGGTTAGAAGGAATAGGACTTCTAGAAGGAAAATGAATATGGAAAAGGATTAGGTTTTCTAACTCTAATAGGATAAGCCCATAATTAGCACCTCCTTAAGGTCCCTAATGTAGTCTATAAATACACCATGTCCCAACCTCTTCCCCTTATGCATGTTGGCTGATTTTAAGGTCATGTAAAGAGAGTAAAATCGTGTTCTTCATATATTGACAGTTCAGGAGTTTCGATTAATCGCCCATCGAGATTTTTCAAAGTAGGTGCTTAGGTAATACATTAGAAGGCTTTAGGGTACAATTTATTGGAGCCTTTTATTTTTAAAATATTCGGCCGCCCTCATCCACCGGAGACGCAGCCTTCAGCCGCCGTCCGTTGCCGGAAATAGCCACCGGAAATTGCTGTGGCCCGCCCAGTCGCACGCAGCCAGTCGCCTGCACCTAGTCCCAGCGACGCCTGTGTGCACGCCGCGCACCACCATCTATGTTCTTCGCGCGCCCGACGCCCTGCCGAGTGACTCGAGTCGCCCGAACCTTTCGATGCATCCCAGTACTCGCAGGCGTAAGAAAGCAGCTCCCGCACGCGCCCGAAGTCCTCAGCCGTTCTAGCACATATTAGCGTCCAGAGCACCGCACGCCCATTAGCCAGCGCGTAGCCAGATGAAGCCGTCCGTGAGCGCCCGACTAGTGTGATGAAGGATCGTGTATCTTCTCAACTCGATTGCCTCGTTGGATGCTCTGCCACGGCACCTTCTCGGCGATAGGTGTGGACGACTCGGTTATTAGCCTTATCTTCTCACGATTTTGAGATGGTTCGGGTCTTAGCCTTGCCAACACGATTTGTATGATAAAACTCTCACGAATTCTAAACACACGATTTGCTCTTGCGAACGATTTCCTATTAACTTCCATTCATTGATAAATTCGAATGACATAGGGGAATATATATAGAGGCTAAGTAAATCTAATCGTAGTCTAGGAAAAACTCCTAATGCATGAAAGTAAATAAAATCCTAAGGCAACTAATTATCTAGTAGTAAAGACTTACCAAAACTAATAAGGCACATGCCTTTTATTCCATCTCCTAACCAAACTACTAGTCCTAATAATGTTAAATAAATCGGCCCTAGGCCTTCTAGAACTCTCGTGTCTCTTGTGCTGCAAGGCTTCGCACCCGAACCCTAGCCGCGTCGGCTAGTCCTTGACCTGCGAGGTCTCGGGCTTGGTCGCTTCACGCGTCCCACGCGTCTGCTGCCTTGTGCTTCAAGTTACGCTGTTCAACCCTAGACGGCGTGCTACTCCTAGCCCGTCGAGGACTCGCTCTCGTCAGCCCTTGCACGTCCCGCGCGTCCTTGCCCGCTGATGAAGGATCGTGTGTTACGTCTAGCCCGACTTGCTCGAAACCCGCGCCGACGCCTTGGTCCCTTCGCAATAAGTTGCTAATACGCGCGCCGACGCCTTCGTACTTCGCGATACGTGTGACGAAACTCGGATGTTGGTCCTATTTAAATCACTGTGAAGAAACTCGGATGTTGGTCCTATTCCATTCACGAACTCTATGTAAACTCACAAGATAAAACACACGAGAACTTTGAACACAATGTTCGACTCTTTTCTATTCTTCAACCATCATTTCGAAAATAATAGGGTACATGGGTATTTATAGATGCTAAAATAAATCTAGTCCTAGTCTAAATAGAACTCCTAATCTATGCAAGTAAATAATTCCTAATGCAACTAAACATCTAGGGAATATGGACTTACCAAACAATTAAAAGACAAATAGGAAACTAATAGGCACATGCCTTTTGTTTGGATTCCTAACCAAACTATGACTCCTAACTAAGCTAAGACAATCACGTCCATATCCTTTGCTTGCTCGGCAAGTTGCTTGCGCATCGAAACCCTAGCCGCCCTACGCATCGCGCGCCGCCTCGCCATGCTTATTCCTCCTCGCGCGCGGTAACGCGCGCGCGCCTTTCGCACCGCCCGCTAGTCCTGGTCGCGCAAGGCATCACTCGCGTCCCTGCCACACGCGCGGTTCTCGTACACGCTCGCCTCGTCAACCTCATCATCCCACTCGACTAGCGCCTCGCGCGTGACTTCCGTCATCGCGCCCCACTCGCGCCCGCCTATCGGGCCCATCGTCTCGACCCAATCCACTCGCGCGACCGCTCCTTCGCAGCCGCCCCAAGTGCACGCTGTCCACCCTACATCCTCCCTGATGGGTCTACTTCCAGATCTGGAGTAAACCGGTTGTTGTGAGCTCAGATCTGCTTGAACCGCTTCCCAACCGTTGCTAGACCGCGAGATACCTGCAAAAACTCAACGCCGGAGGTGTTTCCGGCGTAGAGCCTCCGACGCTCAAGTCAGTATGAGAGTGATGAAGAGATGCTGCGCAGCAGCTATGGGGGAGAGTGGGAATGAATGAGAGTTAGGGTTTGGGTTACCTCACCTCCTTTATATAGGAGTGGATACTTACTTGAAGTGCCCAAAATGCCCAAGTCGATGGACCTATAAGGTCCAAAATGCCCTGGGCGATTCGTCTCCCCTTGTTGCTGAGTCATCACCAGATTCCTTCTTATCCTTTGTAATGTGTAGAGCTTTGTATATATTGTAAGTGTAGTGAATCGTCTTCACTGCTTTGATCCTCGAGATGTACGGAGTCGTCCTCGAGAGTTAAGAGGTCGACTTACGAATATGTGCGATTTCGGAGGCTACGCTTGGTTTAACTCTGTGGTGAAGTTGTCTTCAGAGAGTCTTCATAGTGGAGTCGACTAATGGAAGTCGACTAAGGATGCTGGGATGCCCAAGCGTTATGCTCTTGTTGTTCTTCCTCCATTGATGTCGACTAGTAAAGGTCGATAAACTAAGGTCGACTTACGAGAGTCGACTAGACCAATTTCTGCCTCTTCTTGGTTGCTCTTGGTAGAATCGACTTTAGGGAAGTCGATTTGACTGAGTCATGTCGATGTACGAGTTGTTCCAATAGTTCCTCGGTCGAGTGAGGAGCGTCTAGACCGGATTATCCTTATATGGCTATATCATCTAGTCCCCCCCAAAAATTACTCTAAGCAGTCGACTGCTTAAGAGTAAATTTGATTATCGATTTCTTTTCTCATCAGTCGCTCTTTGATATCGAGACCCTTGCCTTCTGCGTTGCTATTGTAAGACCTCATCATCACCTTCTGGATAGTTCTGACAGCCTGACACTTCCCCTTTTTTTTTCGAATTTCGAAATTCAAATTTGTACTTATTACATCATTTCAATTCCGCCGCCTCGAATTCCGCAACTCATCTGAACCGTTGATTTCAATTGAATCTAAAGGCTAAGGTCCTCCTTTATCCTGTATAAATATCTCTCCCATCGGTCCCAAATCACTTTTCACTTCCTTCTCAAACTCTTCTGTGCTTTCGAATTTCTCCGGCAATAAAGCGCTTCCGAGCTTCATTGGCAATCCATTCTCCGGTAACCGCAAGTTTCAAGACTTTCAGCGACAATCATGTGTAAGTATTACGCTCTTTGTACTTTTTGTTCTCTTTTCTCTTTTTACGCTTTTTTGCACCTCTTTCTGGGTTTCTCTGATCTGGAGTACCCTTGCATGTTCTTCATGTTATTATATTTTTGTGCGATTCTTTGGGTTAGATCCTCTTCACTTAGAGATTTTGTTGGGTTTTCTGTTTGCCACCGCCTTGCCTCCCTTTGTTTT